TGTAATTTCTGGCTATTGGAAATAAATTATTCTCAGCAATCATGTTTGCTTAGGGTTTTGTGACAGGATCTTAAGTTTCAGGTGCTGAAGATGTAAGTTTCTAGAGTTTCTAGACTATACGGAATGCACAAAGCCCAGGATTTGACTCCCGGAATCATGTAAAGTCAGATTTGGTGGTATATATGACTGTATCTAAGCACTGGGGGCAGTAGAGACCAAAGGATCAGAATTGAATGTTATCCATGGCTACATAGCCAGTTCCAGTGGAGATGGGCTACATGGAACCCTGTCTGTCTCAAGAGGGAAAAAAGTCTCAGTAAAATTTTGGGGATTTCCCCCCACCCCACCCCCAAAGTTTTGACTTACAGCTCTCCTCCCACCCCTATTTCTTAAAGTATTGTATTCAGGTTTGACCTCTATATCAGTTCATTTTCTCCTCACTTTGATGGAATAACGGGTAGAAGCAGCTTAAATGAGGAGGCTTTTATTTTGGATCACAGTTTAGAGTCCATCATGGCCAGGAAGGAAGGGAGCCTCTGGGGGCTCTGGCATCAGAAGCATGTGAAGAGAAATAGGAAGCGGAGAGCTTAGGCTAGAAGCAGGGCTGAGCCCACCTTCAGTGACTCACCACTGCCAACCGTGCCTCTTCCTCCTAGAGGTAATAACCTCCCAAAAGCAGTGCAGCAACTAGGGAGCAGGTTGGAATCCATGAGTTACAACAAACAATAAAAGCCTAGTGTTGACTTTTTGAAGGAATAGTACAATAACCCCTTTATATTGTTTCCATATGAATGCCGGATTCTAATGCCGCCACACTTTTATTATCTCCATGCGTGCACACTCACATCGAACCATTGGAAGTTAAAGGCTTACTACATAATGTGAGATCAAAAGCCAGAGATTGAATGTGTAAAGAGATGGACATATCCCTATCATAGAATAGTATTGACAATAAAAAAATCTGAGCATGGTGGCTTATACATATTACTCTAGCACTTGGGAAGCCAAGGGTGCTGTGAGTTCTAGACCAACCTGTGTGAGCCACAGTGTGCGACTAGGTCTAAAATGAGGGGACAGGAAAGAGGAAATACTAATTTATAATAATAACCTGAGTAGATCTCAAAAATATTTTGAAGGCAAGAGAAAAAAACAGATTCCAATGCTCGTGTTATATGAGTCCATTGTACTGTACAGCATTTTGGAAAAGACAAAATTATTGAGCTAAAACAAAATAACTGATTTTCAGTGGATAGAAGATTGACTGTAAAAATTTGAGGGAGTGGTAAACTTGTCAGAGCTTGACTGTGTTATGGGTACAAAGCTATATACTTCCTCCCAAAAACCCATGTCTTCACATAAGGAAGAATGAATGTTGGGAAGCATCCTAGAATTTAATATTAACACATCTACAAGGTCTTATTCAGATTTTTCCCCCAATTGTTCAATGTTGGCCTTTATGGGGAAAAAAATCTCAAATCACATATTAAAATTAGTAGTCTTTAGTTTCCTTTTATGTAGGAACTATTATTTATTTTATGACATTGGCTTTTTTGTTGTTATTTAATTTAGAATAGTACTTTTATAGGATTTCCTTCATTTCGGGTTAGTGTGTTATCTTAATGAGTAGATGGGGGCATGCCGCACACAGAACACAACGACCACAGCACTTATGTGTGGCTGCCACCTACCTCCCACCTTGTTGGAGACAGGGTGTCTTGTTCATTACTGTGTTTGACAGGCTAGCTAGCCCACAAGCTTGTCTGCCTCCTATTTTGCAGGAATGCTGAGCTTAGAAAAACTTTTCATGAATTTGGGGATCCAAACTTAGATCTCCATGCTTGCATAGCAAACACTTTAACCATTTAGTCACCCAGAGTAGATGTTTTCTTGTTTGGGACAAGGAAACTAACTTCAAAGGTAATTTGTTCTTCCTAAATATGTCCGTTTATTTTAACTTTTTAATTTGTATGTGTGTAGGTGTTTTGTCTGCAAGTCAGTGCACCATGTATGTGCCTGGTGCCTATGGAGGTCAGTAAAGAGCATTGGATCCTCTGGAACTGAAGCTACAGACAAGTGTTAGCTGCCATGTAGATGCTGGGAATTGAACCCTGGCTCTCAGGAAATGCTTCTGCAAAGCCATCTCTCTAGACCAAGAGATTTATTATTAGTGCTTTATCTACCAGATTTCTCCACTATAGAGTTACTATTTTTTCTTAAGTATCTTATGGAGATACATTTGGAATTACATAACAATTTTACTATTTATAAAAAGTTCACCTGCTATTTGAGTAACCTGCTGGTTTAGTAGCCTCTGGGTGATTCTTGGCTGTGTCAACTAGTTACTCTTGAGTTTATTGACTGTAACTTAATTTGTTGAGTAGCGCAGTTGGGTACTTTCTTGTTGGGATTCCTTCTCACCAAGAGTGCAGATAGTAAGTAATCGAACTCTTTTGAGGGTTGGTGGAGAGGTTCCTGAGGACCACCCAGACCTAGTAGGCTCATGTGGCAATTTCATCATTCTTGTTACCATCAAGTTGGGAGTGATTATTCATCTCTAACTCACTGACACTCTGTGTTTCTCCTTCAATATTAGGCGGTAACCAGTTTCTTGCCCCTTATATCCCAATCACCTGGCATTACTACTGTTTTATTTAACAGTTGTGCTGGATTTTTCATTCTTGGTTGGCTTTCTTTTAATAATGGCTTGGCCATTATTAAAAAGAAAAAAACTAAACAGCTCTAACAGTGTCTACAGATTTTTCCTCCTTTTTCTTGTTAAAACAATGAATTCAAGAAATTCTTAGGTAAATGGATGGAACTAGAAAATATCATCCTCAGTGAGGTAACCCAATCACAAAAGAACACACATGGTATTCACTCACTGATAATTGGATATTAGCCCAGAAGCTTGCAATACCCAAGATGCAACTCACACACCACATGAAGCTCATGAAGAAGGAAGATCAAGTGTGGGTGCTTCGGTCCTTCTTAGAAGGAGTAACAAAATACTCAAGGGAGCAAATATGGAGACAAAGTGTGGGACAGAAACTGAAGGAGGCCGTCTGGAGACTGTTCCACCTGGGTATCTATCCCATGTGCAGTCACCAAAGGTAGATGCTGAAGTGGAAGTCAGGAAGTTCATGCTGACAGGAGCCTGATATAGCTGTCTCCTTAGAGGTCTCCCAGAGTCTGACATATTCAGAGGCGGATGCTCACAGCTAACCATTGAACTGATCATAGGGTTCCCAGTGGAGGAGTTAGAGCATGGGGAGAGCAATAATACCAACCATCCAGAGCTCCCAGGGTCTAAACCACCAGCCTGGGAGCACATAGGGAGGGACCCATGGCTCTAGCTGTATATGTAGGGGAGGATGGCCTTGTCAAACATAGGTGGGAGAAGTCCTTGGTCCCGTGAAGGCTGGGTACTCAGTGTCGGGGAATTCGAGGGTAGGGAGGTGGGAGTGGAGGGTAGGTGAGGGCACATCCTCATGGAGGCAGGAGGAGGGGGGATGGGGTGGAGGTTCCTGGGCCAGGGGGGTGATGGGGAAAGGGGATAACATCTGAAATGTAAATAAAATATTCAATAAAAAAAAGGAAAAAAAGGATTCTTAACAATAGCATCTAGCCTTTAATCCCAGCACTCTGGCAGAGACAGAGAGTTCTAGGTCAGCCAAGGCTGTGTCGTGAGATCCTGTCTCAAAAACAACAGTGCCTTGTTTCCTCATTTGTAATGCTTTACAGTCATTAACTCAACTATTTTCCTCTTGAGTCAACAAACTCGAGAGTAACTAGTTGACACAAGCAAGAATCACCCAGTGGCTACTAAACTAGCAGGTGAGCCTTTTATAAACAGTAAAATTGTTGCATAATTTCAAATGTATTCCCTTTTTCTCCCAAAATTGAATATCTTTTATGTTGATTTGCAGCACAGTGGTGATTAGACAATAATTTTATGTATTATGAAACTTTCCAGATAAGTTCATATTTTGGAAATATGTCCTGAGTCTAAAAATAAAAAGTAACTCCAGTTAGAATGTGATGGTTTTATATAATGTATCAAATTTGTCAGCTATAAGCTATAAACTGTTACTTTTAATAGAGAATTCAAATAAATGTAATTGGGTTTTTCTGTTGTTTTGCAAATGGATAACATTTGTTGTCCTTGGTTTGTTTGTTTGTTTGTTTGGGTCTCATTAGCAGACCAGACTGGCCTCAAACTTGAAACTCAAAAGATCCTCCTGCCTGTCTTCCATGTGCTGGTATTAAAGTTATAAACTACCAAGCTCAGCCAATTTTGAACACATTTGAATCTGTTTTTAATTGAATTGTTCCTCTTCAGTATATAAAAATCCCATTGACATTTTAGGATCTTGTAGCTACTGTTTGAACTGATAGTGACAAAAAATGGATTCTAATCCGAAAGCACAGGTTAAACACTAATTGTGTTAATAAGTACTATGCTCCTTGAGATGAAAAGAGGAAGATTTTCCAGACCAGTATAATTAAGATTTAAAATAGATGAAGACTAATTACTTAAAAGAGAACATAATAATCATAATTCATGTTGTCATCAGCTAAATGTGGCCTACAACTTTGGTGGCTGTCCTGGAACTCGCTCTGTAGACCAGGCAAGCCTTGAACTCAGAGATCCACCTGCCTCTGCCTCCAAAGCTCTGGGATTAAAGGCTTGAGCCACTACTGCCCAACACAGCCTAGGACTTTCTTAACATCCCAGTGTCGCAATATGACAAACTAGACTTTCTAGTCAATGTGATCCTCCTGAGTAGTGTTTAAGCAGCCAGATCCCAACATGAATTTATTTATATACATGGGCATATGGTTTCCTTTACATGTGTGTATGTCTGTATGTATATAAATCTTCAAATGCATAAATATACATGGTGTTATAGCTTACAGAATTAGAAATGTAATACAGTTTACTCCCACAGAATAAGACTGAAGATAATGAGAACTGAATTAAAGCTTACTTTCTTTCACAGAATTCCTCAGAGAGAGAAGACTGTAATAATGGCGAACCCCCTAGGAAGATAATACCAGAGAAGAATTCACTTAGACAGGTATGAAATTCAGTCTTACTTAAAGTAAAAAGCTTCTAAAAAACAAAACAAAAGACAGGAAGCCCTTGACTGTCATTCTTAAAAATTGGAGTTTAAATCAAGAGCCCTGTGTTCTGAAGTTGGTCTGGCCATAGCCATCAATTTGATAGTCAGAATATATATTAAATATTTAAATTGAAGTAAAGAAGTTTAGGCAAGATGACCTTAAGTGCTTCATAGAGTGGACATGAAATAGTTAACACTAATATTTATCTCCCAGTAAGGATTATTTATACATTTTAATTTTAATTTAAAAAAAAATTCTGAGACAGGGTCTCATTAAATAGTCCAGGCTAGAAGACTTGATGTCCTAGGCCTCCTGCTTCAGCATCCTGAGTGCTGGGATCACAAGCCTGTACCTCATTCCTGCCTCAGCATCCTGAGTGCTGGGATCACAAGCCTGTACCTCATTCTTGCCTCAGCATCCTGAGTGCTGGGATCACAAGCCTGTACCTCATTCCTGCCTCAGCATCCTGAGTGCTGGGATCACAAGCCTATACCTCATTCCTGGCTAAGGTTTGTCATACATTTAAGTAACAAACACAGAACTGGAACAAAGTCGAGTTTCTTAGTTTGAATTTGTTTAATTTATTAGTCTTTTTTTTTTCCGAAGTGAAATCTACTATTGATGTTTACTTTAAAGCTTTTTTTATGGGACTGGAGAAACAGTTCAGTGCTTAAAGTGCTTGCCCTGGAAACATGAGGACCAGAGTTCATATCCTCAGGACCCACAGTGTGGCAGGCCAATTGTAATCCAGCATTGTGAAGAGATTACAAGGGATCCCAGAAAAGATTCTCAATGAATAATGGTCCATGTGGTTGAGGACCTCCACATTCGTGCACACACATGTACATCCATACTCAAATGTTTGCGTAGTACAGACATAGAGAAGAAAAGAAAAGAAAAATATAAACCCCTTTCCTCAGGACTCTGTGCCCTGTTTCCCAGAGGGAACTTGTGAACTTGTGAAAGTTCAGTCTCATTTTTATTTCATTAAAATATCCAAAATAGTGAATGAAAAAAAATGTCCTCACTACCTATAAAAACCTGTATTACCTTCATAATGTTTTAGAGACAGAACAGATCACTAAATTGCTTATTTATTAAATTAGTATAGCTAGAAAATAAATATTACCTAATCATTTTTAGTATACAGTTGTATAAATGGGCTGCAGTACAGATACTTTTAATTGGTTGTGTCTATGACCTTTATTCTAGGACACGGAGCAGTGGTGTGGTTTGTGTTAGATACCCACAATGAGTGTGTTTATTTCACTTAATCCTGTGATGACCCTGCTGAGCTGGTATATATGATACGGTTTCCAGTTTACTGATGAAGCAAATGGAGGCTTGAAGAAGTTAGACTTGACCAGAGCTGCTCATTGATTTGGAAAAGCACATTAAAACATGTCACAATTATTTTTTATTTATTATAGGTCAACTCTTCTTCATGAAGGCATTTTTTATAAAAATTAAAATTTGCTAATTTTTTATAAAAAATAATTGATTTAAATAGAATTGAGTCAATACAAGAAGCTTTCAAAACAAACAAGTTGATGTCGAGACGATTAGTGATAATTATTTGGAGATAGACACCAAATCAGTATGTGAAATCAATAGAACAGTATTGAATAAGGTAAACTTGGTGGCAGAAACTCTCTGTCCACTACACAGAACAGAAGCAGCTATCAAAAAACAATGACACAACAAAAAGTTTTGGCAACTTTATTTAAGCTAACAAACGAATTTTCACTCTGCAAAGTTATAAATTAATTTTAATAGGCTGATCCAGATGGTCCATTTGGAAAATGGATAGGCTGATCTGTTGAAAATTAAACTAAATTTATCTCTCTCATACTTCAAACTGAAGCAAGAGAGAAAACCGTGCCTATTAAGTCCAGCACACACAGATGGACCAGCAGGTCACACATGGGACTGATCTGATTCATTTTAAAAATAAATGCATACATTATTGAATCATTTTCTACTTGCAAGATCTGTTGTGTACAGTACTTAAAAGAAATTTGGTGTTTTTTCCTTGTTGCTATTTTAGCAGGTTTGCTTCACCCTCTCCACTTTAATTTACACTCCTCCCCCCCATTTCTCCAAAATGATTTTTCTAGTATCTGTCATTCAATGTTGAGATCCAAGCTCTGGAGATTAATTAGGTCATGAGGCTTTCCCCCTCCCTTCTTTGTAAAGGGTTTTATCTCCATTCTCTTTGTGAAGAGCATGAACTCAGTGTTCTTGGAAAGAGAAATGGCCTTTAGAATTCAGGAAGTAGGGGATCCTCCTGGGGCCCTCAGAGCCTTTTAGCTTCTGGGTGTTTTAACAGCCCCATGAATGCAGATTTGTAAATTTATTGCAGTGCCATCTGGTTTTTTGCTCGAACCAGATTACTGTTGGCTTGTGTCTGTCTATTGTGGTGGTCACTCCCTAGGAGCTTGCCCTCTCAGTCTTGGAAAAGAGTGATGAATAGCAGGGGTCAGTGGAAGCGGGTCACAGGGCAGCTGTCCGGGACTGCCCTGAACTTGATTACCCTGCTGCTGATTTTTTTTTAAGGTACTACATAATACACAAGCTGTTTAAACTCCTCTTTTTCTCTGTTGCATTTGACAATAAGGAAATGACATTTGCTATTTTGTTTGTCTATTGTTAAGTTCTATAGACAAAAAGATATCAAGGCCAGCTTAAAGTGAGTGTGGCTTCATGGGGTCAGTCTCTTAAGTTGAAATTCATCTGCACATATTTCTAATAAGCTTTCAAGAATCTCTTACCCTGAAATATAAAAAATTCACTTGAATTCTAACAACCTAATATTGTTATAACTAAACTCTATAGTTTATATAGATTATTCTCAGGCAAAGGATTGCCATTATTGATAGGGCATGGCTACTAAACAGTAATTTGAAAAGCTGTTTGAATACTGGAGGAGCTGAAAGAAGGGTTATCGCTATAATTCTTAAGACGTTAAAAGAATAATGGAATATCAATATAGATATAAATAACTTTATTCCAAAAATTGGCTGGATAAAATGTGCAGATTCTTTGAAAACTCACAAAACTAACACAAGGTAAAAGTTATATCTGTTAAATATAATGTTTTCCTCATCACAATGTTCATATGGTTTCACTGGTGACTAAATTTTAAACAGATATAATGGCAATCTTGTACTGTAAACCCCCTCTTAAAACACAAAAGGAAAGAATACTTTTTTGCCATAGTAGAACTTCCAAAACTTAATGGGGAAATTACCAAAAATAGTGAAGGAGAATGTCATCATTTGGCATTAAGTGTGAACTTTAAAAAAAGGATACTATATAGACAGTTTCCTTTCTGTGTTTATCCTCCTAAACTGTGGAAACCACAGCCTCTCTTTTATAGTTTTATACCATGTGTGATGGAGGCAAAGGACTGAGAGATGCAAGGCCTCTTTGCTTTTTGAAAATGTCACACTACAACATGCAACTTTTCTTTGCTCACATTGGAGCTAATAGGATCTGTCAGCTCCCCTTTTCTCTGTAATTGAGTAAATTGTGGCTTTTGCCTAATTCTTCTCCGGTCTTCCACCTCTTTGTGTGTGTGTCCACTTACCATCCTGAGAACGTGGGCAGTGATAAATAAAGCACTGAGTGGAGCGCTCTCGACTCTTTGAAAGCAGCATGACGCCAGCCCTCTAGTTATATTTCTTTACGTGTTTACATTTTCCTGTATTCTTTCTCTTGTGTAGCTGGAACCCTGGGGATGCAAAGCCATGAGAGAGGCCAAGAAGCTAACAAAGTAGCTGTCTCCCTTGTTAGCTTGTTCCTTTATTCTTTAAAAACAAGATAAAAACCATCTGGCTCAGGGCATTACATTTTCCTCCCCTGTGCACCTCTATAGTGGAGACTTCACCTGCAGCGGGGGTTTACACTGATGAGGGAGGAGCAGTAACTCAAGCTTCCATCCGCTTCAAGGATACTTTGCAGTCTTGAAAGGTGCTGACCCACTGAGTTAAACTGTCAAGGGAGGATAAAAAAGTATCTTCATCCCAGGAGGTAACAGCTGCCAGGTTTTCAACACCTTGCATGCTGCTGGGGGAAAAATGTCACAATTGTCAGCTGAAAGAAAAAACAAGTCTGTTGTCATCTTCTGTTAATGACTGAGCCTTACAAAAGGAACTACGCAAGTCTTTTGGATGGAATAAGTAACTATTTTCCTTGCCTGAGATTTTCTTTTCCCCTGATAAAAATCCCTACATTGTTCTAAACATCAGTATGAAGGAACAGCATTAAAAGAGCCAGTGAGATGGCCTTGGCTCCTTTTTTACATTTGGGCAAGTAGGAGGAAGAGGCACACCACAGGCACAGAAAATGACATCAATGTCTGTTGACAAAACAACCACAACAGTTCCAGGGCAGCAGGCTGAGAGAAGACACCAGGCTCTGTTCTTTGGAGGACAGTTTGTTTTCAGGCAGCATCCAGGAGGGTACCATGATGTTACTTTCAGGAGTCACTTCTCTCTAAAAGCATGAAAGAAGTTGAACCCCACAGAATTCACTTCCTTTACCAGCTCCAGTGTTGTGTATGATGGCGCTCTCTTCTTTCTGATTTGATTGATGAGGGGGAAAGGTTTAATGAAGTCTCTGCTATCAGGCAGGCAGTTTTTTCTTCTATTTGTTTTAGGTTAGTCATTTTAATTGTATTGAGTAATTAGAAGGTACACACAGCCAAGGGAGCTTTGTTCTGATAATTGCTCAAGAAAACCCGTTCCCTATCCTCTGTCACTTTGTATTAAGACACTTCTCCCTCTAGTGGCAATAGTAAGCGCTTTGGCTTGGCAGTAGGCAAGGTGTAATTGCACCATGACAAACTATGCTTAAGGGACTTTCTTGTAAATACTTTAGGGTTCAGCATTATTTCATTATATACATATATTTTACCCTTTGAAACTTACTACCTCCTCTTTCTTCTTCCTGA